TGTAAATCTTTACGCAAAATGCCCAATCAGTAATAGCCATATGCGGAAGACATGATCCAAATAATGGATATTCTTGCATTAAGGGGTTTAGAACATTGCAACACAGAATGATTTCACCTAAATCATTATGCAAAGAAAAGCCGTCAATGATTGTGTTTGAATTTCTAGTTGAAAGCGGTCACAGCAAATAATAAAAGCATTTCAAATCACGCCCAGTCTCTATATAAATGGTATAAAGCACCTAAGCACACCAGCAAGTCAGAGAATCAATATGAGTAAATCGCAAATGCTTTAAAAATTCAAAGTGCTGAACAATAACCAAAGTGTGTAAAGGAACTAAGTACATCAATTGTATCTATAAGAGATGAATGGATAAGTATGATGAACATGCAGTTAAATGCTCCATCAGCCAAAATAAATCTGGGCTTATGAATGGACAACTCGTGACATCCCAGCGTTGGCAGAGTTTGCGATGTCAGTTGCACCAAACAACAGCAGCACCTCGGCACCAGAATGGTACCATGGGCCACAGGAAGGCGTTGCTACTCTGAATAGCTAGGTAAGGGGCCTGGTATACCTACTGACTCAGGGTAAATAACAGGTGGCCCCTGCCCTAAAACCTATACCTATCCATCACCTGCCGATGCGCCTGATATCCACTCAAGCCTCAGCATAGCGAAAATAATTAAACAGTCAAAAAAGAACGCAAATGATTTCTCTAACGAAATTTTCAAATTTATTTATTTAGCATTACCACTACTTGTCTGATAGAAGAATTTATTGCCAAGCAAACTTTAATACATGGCAGACCGGAAATTCTTGATATCCATAGAAGCTAACCGCTAAGAATATTCTTGATTCACTCTTTATATTCTTCTGTACTAAAGTATTCTTGAATTACTTTTCCATCAGGTTTACATTCTTTTTATAGAGAAGAAATCCTAGCTGTTGAGATTTACGAATAAGTGGGGTGAATAAGAACAGTTTCATTTTTTATTACTAGTGCTTTCAGTAAACGGAGAATATTTTATTGCTCATATTTGTTTTTTAGTCTGTTTTAAATACCTGACAGCAAATATCAGCTTCTAAAATCGAATAAGTAATTCCACTTACATGATTTGAATTATATTAGTAATGATTGTTACTAGGTGTCATTTGAAGATAGCTGTAACTGGTTTTTAGAAAACAAAATCCTAAGTTTTAAGGCATTTTTGTATAACAATGGCCTTAAACTGGCAATCGGAGGGCCGTATGTAGCCACCAAAGCAATTTTATGTGGCCCACGAATACATTTCAATTACGTGATTGCCGAAAATACCGTTTTGCAAAGATTTCAGTTACTTGAAGTCCGAGTTTACACCACCATTAGAAACGAAATTGTAAATAACGCATCAGAAAATATATAAATGGAACTGACTAATTTACAGAGTGATAGAAATCTTATTCAAAGATTTGAAGATACGTATTGCATAAACTTTTATTCGTACTTATAAAAAAATAAGCTCAGTTACGATTTTTTGCACTAACAATAAACCCTTTGTTTAGGAATACATTTATATATGAATAGCGTTTTATCATAGTTGAAAACTAATAAGAAAGAAACCCGATAGACTGATGAGTACCTACAATCCGTGATGAAGAAAATTTCTAGCAATTCTTCTCCAAGGAAATAAACTTTGAATATAAACGCTATGGAATATCTAGCTATATTAAGAAATAAAGAAGTTCATACAAACATACGTACTTTCATTTATGTGTCGAAAAAAACTTTAATAAATAAGAGGAAGAGACTAAGTTGTCATTATGTATTCCCAATTTTTCCCCACTTGGAAAGTTGTTTCTGAAAACTTAGAAAGTTTTCATAATTTGTTTATATTTAGTTTAATTTCAGTAAGTTATTTAGTGATTAATTAAACATATTTAAATTACTTGAAATAAATATTAGCCTGAAAATTTAATATTTAGCCCTCAACATAGCCGAATTATAAAGTGTAGCCTACAAAAGCGGTAGCAAAGTATAGAATTCTGATAGCAAATACATTTAAATTTGATTTTTTTCCTTTTGCTATATTATTATTTATTGCTTATGTATGTTTCATAAATATTTAGTATGCCAAATTAAAATAGTCTTCATTATGTTGGGAAAAGATTTTAATCAAAAAAAATTTTTTCCGTCAGCTTTCGATGTGCATTGGGGCCGCATGCAGCTTCAGACAACTAGTTATAGCATAGGAGATGTAAAATGACGTCGGTATTAAGATTTTCATTTTTTGATGCTTTCTTATACATAGAAATACATAACTTCGGTCCCAAAGTTAAACTCGTATCATTCCCTTTATAGAAAGCTTTTGAAAGTTTAAGAAGGTAGTTTTATGTAAGTAGAATTACCCAATTTTATTACTCCAATTCTTTCCTTAAACTGGCTCACTAGCGACAGAGTTGTAAAAAACTACTGAATATTTACATTTTGATTCGGATTCAAATTTCTATATGAAAGTTTTTAGGGTGTCCCTTATGTGTGGATACCAGCCAGTTTTCGTTAAAAAGTTTTCCCAAAAGGTATCCCTTCTTTTCGTTTTTCCTTGGGTGCTTTGTCACAATTTGCATACTTCTAATCCTAATATTTTTTTTTCAAACTTGTTCACTAAGATTTTGTTGTATTTCTTGTAAAATTATGAAACTTTATTTGAAGCTAACAGATTAAATTTTTCATTACTTTCTATTTTTTGCCTCGTTTTCAGTCCAGTGTGGTAATTTGAAAACGAGGTATTATAAGAGATAAGATATGGAACATTTTTGAACCATATAAGAAACGGGTTTGAAAGCCAGTTTCATGATGTCAATTAATGTAAAGTTCACACCTCTAGAGAGTTAATTTGGACCTACAATTTTTCCCAAAGCTAGAAAAATAGTTACTCGAAAAAGAAGGAATTCTGCCTAAAGAATTCTGATCGATGAGGCAATCATGTGATGAACAGAATGATAAATGAATGCACAACCATGAAAAACATAGAATGACTGCTGAAAAAGAAATCGTTATTTCTTCATTTTACTTATATATTATGAGTGCAAGAGAATGCATAGAGAAGCTAGAATATTGAAAAGAATGCACAGGATTTGTTCTCCGAGACAACAGTGTTTGTAAAAAATATTGTTCTGGTTAGAGATATTTCTGCCAAAACCTCCACATTTGCATTTTGTAACATTTTGCTTATTAGATTCAGCTCCATTTTGCTATTATCTAAAATCACAGCAACATTTAGTACTATTTTAATATTGGGTCACCCCCGAAAATTTCTGCGGTTTTTAAGTCGAAGAGAGGTTTCTTCTCATAGTTATGTTACTGCTGATACGGAGCAAGCAGATGCTTAAATACGGTCTTTTCTGTTAATGTTGCATATTTTTAGCATGTGGTTATGGCATAATTTTGGTTTCGGTGCAGTGTTATTTTCTTTTACTTTGCTCGTAAATTTTGCGCTATATATGGAAAATATGCTGTTTCTGATAACTCAGTTCGAAAGTGGTTTGAGAAGTTTAAACGCGGAAATTTTATCCTTCAAGATTTGGACAGCCATCCTCTGTAAACAAGCACCTATTAATAGAAGCTGTCCCTGAAAATCCAAGTTGTGCATTTCAGGATCTGTCAGACAAACTGAATATTTGAAAAATGAGATCAGTCGAAAACGGTAGAGTATCTAAGCTGCTATGATGTATGCGCACCAAATACTTTAACAGTGTAAGAATGTACTTATGCGTCTCCAAAAATGTAACGCTTTGTGAATGAAGGGACTACAGTGGAATTATATATTATGCATTATTGCCACTAAATCAGGCAATGCTGTTACCATCGGTAGTTTTAAAAGTAGAAATCGAAGCAAAGCGCACAGAACTGACCGATATTGTGAATGCTAGACAAAAGCTTATTGAAAACGGCAGAGATATTTCATGCCCCCTCCCAATATTTAATAGACCTTGCCCTCCCAGATTTTCATCTAGAGACTCGGCTTCGTGCAGTTTTCGGCAACAGTGGCTATCTAGAAAACGCATGTCCTCGTTGTTTCCTTTAAAAAATTCTCAGCAAAATTCTGTATTACTGCCGAAAATTTACCAATAGTTCTTTTAATTGCTGGCGAATTCCACAAGCTCATATTATAAAACTAAGTTTAAGGCAAAAAATATCAAGATTGGTGTATAATTTTTACTATTTGTGTAGCCAAATTAGTCAATTAAAAACTTAGGTTTGGAAGTTTTATTATTTAATTGTATATTTTGTATGCTTTATTATTTAATTTAATGAAAACAACTAATAATTATCGTTAATCGGTTGAAATTGCTTAAGATTAGCAGATATAGGATGATGTTTAATAATATTTTACTTAAACTGTCTGAATGGTCTGGAATTCACTTCTTTGGGGACTTTAAAAGCACACCTCGCTAGCGTCTTTATGAGTAAACTTAATGAAATTTAAAAATGGATATTGCTTGGCTTTATTGCCATTTGCTTGAGAGATGGCAATAAAGCCATTGAATAAAATAGTGCTTATGTGACTCAGTGAAAGTTTCTTATATTTTTTGGACTGCTTCATTTCTATTCATCATGAAAAAACCTTAAGAACTTTCGGATGATCCAAAACATCCATTAAGAAAGTTGCGATAAGGCTTGTAAACAGTGCCTTTCCTTCAAGAAATCACTTTGTAATCGTACAGAAAACTATACATTTTCCACATTCAGTTACTTCGAATTGGTTCGAGGTTGGTAATTTGCTACAGTAATCATTTATTTAAATATAACGGTCTTATTTTCAAAAATGTTTCTCAGTGTAACAATTTCACAGTGTAAGTCTTGCCCGATTGGCTGCTTTTTCTGGATGGTGGTACTAAGCAAAAGTAAATATCGAGCAACTGGGCTTAATGTGAATTCACTGATGACATCCTAATTTCGTATAAACTGAATATCTGTAACCAAGTTTTGTTTTTATCTAACGGAGGAACGAACTTACCTTTTATAAAAATTCACATCATCCTTGTCTATCTTTTCCGTACAGGCCGACTCTGGCACCTCCAAGACTGGCTCCGGTGATATCTGATCCTTTAGGGAACCCATAAGGATTGAAAGGTAATCCGTATGGAAAGCCATAAGGGAATCTGAAGCCACTATTTCCAGATTTGCCGTAAAGTCCTACTTTGGCCCCACCTAGAGAAGCAGCATATTCTTCCGAACTTGGGAAACTGAGCGGAAATCCGAAAGGAGGGAGAATTGATTTCCCGTACTGAGCACTGACGGCAGCCACGAATAAACAGAAGATGATCTAATAAAACATGCACAGAAAAAATATTAAATATCTACATATATTTGTACAAAAAAAATTTATTTGCATTACCTCTGGCGAAATAGCGCTTCTAGATGTTTAATTTCTATTTCTAAAAATACTTCTATCAAACTTGCAAACGGGATTTGAAATATGTCAACTTTACTTTAAAGGATTTAGAGATTTTCCAGATTCATTGGTGTGTGAACTCAATTCCGTGACACCGGAATCGAGTCACAAATCTTCCACTTCCCAGCTGGATATATTAAACACTTGCATCATGAAAGTACGCACGGGTAAACACTATAATTCGTTACATTCCTCCAATTTAATGGGTGATTGGAGAGAGAGAGAGAGAGAGAGAGACGAGACCTAGTTGTCCAAAAAAACTCAGGCGGTGACGATTTATCCTTTACCACCTTTTAAGTACGGGTGTCACTGGTCACTGAGAAGATTTTTAGGCTTTTTTCTTGGAAACGAAAATTCAAAATTCAACTATTTCTTGCTGGGAAATCACGATTCTGAATCTTACAAGCTGAACCTGTTAATTACTTACGCCATGACAGCACGCATGGGCTGCGATTATTAACAACTTAAGAACAGAATATACAATTTGTCTGTAGTATTTTATAAATGAATGTAGGAATAATCGAGGTCAGAAGGGAAAAAAATTACTGTTTTCCTTTAATATACGTTCCTTTTATATCTCGTTTATTACATTCACAGAACTTTTGGATGCCATCGTTGGAATTAATTGTTGGAATGTTCTTTAGTTACCTTATTAGGTTTTTTGAATCTCCGTAATGCTGCCGAAATGGTGCTTTTTAAGGTGAAACTACATTAAAAATGAGAAAGGAGCCCACACATCTAGAAATTTGTAGAAAGATCTTGAAGAATTCCGCATATCTGGAAAGTACGGTAGTTTACTAATAATAGTAGCAAATTTTAATGAAATTTTTCAGGTTAATTTTTTTAATATCATCTATTGTTTCTCGATGCTTAGACTTTTAATGTATAAGTATAATAGCTTACACTGACTTCATTTAATAGTCTTTCTGTAAACAAACTTTATACAGATAGCAAATCAAGCTATGGCAGTAATTGCTGCCAAATAATTAGCATTGTTTGGTTAAGCTGAAAATCTACATTCAAAAATTTCTGTAAACACACTAACACTAACGCTGTCAGAAACAAACCCTAATTGGTCAGTCTCACAGTGTTTTAATATTGTTTTGGTAGAAGCCGTCTGTTATCTGCAAATCTCAGCCAAGGTCAGATGGCAATTATTTGTCTAAATCCTTAAAAACTTTTCAGAGCTTCATATTATTAAATTGCACAAAAATTACGGTACTTACGTACTATCGCAACCATCTCGCCGCAATTTAGTGATTTTTTACATATAAAAATGTGAAAGTTACTTTGTGCAAGTTGATGGTTTTTCACGTCTTTTTTTTAAAAAGATTTCCAAACTATCGATATTTATGTGAAGTTTGGTAAACAGTATCAACATAGGAAAAAGAAAACATATTTTAGCAACTTAAAATACAAATTTGAATTATTAAATAAGGATTATGTCATACATTAAAAAATAAAACACCTACATTCTTCTTCAAAACTTTATGTATTTTTTTTTTTTTTCGTTCTTCTTCTCTCGAACTACGTAGTGATCTGTTTTCACTTAAAAAAACAACAGAAATTTGCGGAGACTCAGTTTCATGCAATCTTCTGCGACAGCGGCTATCTAGAAAACGTAATTCCTCGTTGTTTCCATTAGGGAAATTCTCAGCCAGAATTCTGTATTGACTGCTGATATTTTACCGTAGTTTCTTCCACTGCTGGCGAATTCCACAAGCTCTTATTTAAAAAACTAAGGCATAAAATATCACTTGACTGAAACGCTTGTTATGAGCATGATAGCAGCAAGAATAGTTATGCGCAAAAAAATCTAAAATATTATTTAAAAAAATCTGAAAGTTTCCAGATTTTGTATGACGCTTGAAGGGGCATTTTCAGCCCAAACGGCGTTAACCCAGAAGTTACCATCAAATATTATCGCCGTATATTATATTAAAAGAAATTAAATAATGAAGAATCTACATGAACGTTTCTCGCATTGTGAAGAATCAACGGTACCTAAAGCCATCAAATTTTAAAGAGCGTAGTTCTCGAACCGAACATGGGTACATGGAAGGTATGCTGTTTCTAAATATTTTGTCATATTGCTATTGAATTGAATTTTATGTGTTTTAAGTGCTAAGAACGGGATATTTAACGATAAAAAACGCCCTTTTGGGCGTAATATACAATCTGAAAGCTGTGAAATTTTTTCTTTGATTTTTTAACGTTTTGTGTGTTACCTTTAGTTATTAAATCTCACGTTTTTCGCACTTAAACCGTAAAATTCAATCCAAGAGCAACAACAAAAAATATTTAAAAGAGCATATCTTTAGAATTTACGACACGCAGTCTTGCGCGCTGGAGATTTTTTTTCCTACAATGTTTCGATTGTTCACTTTGAAATCGTTGAGTTTGTTAATCAAAAATTCTTTAGTGTTTGACAAAATATGAAATAGATAATAAAACAAATTCCAAATTCCAAACTAGGGTTTCCAGATGCTCATATTCTAATGGAGGACTTCGTTATTCAAAATTTGATACCTCTAGGTACCGTCATTTTTTCACATTGTGAGAAACATACATACATTCATTATTTAATTTCTTTAATGCAGGGCTCTAATATTTGGTGGCAACAATTTGAAAAGTGAACTGACGCAAAATGCCGAAACGAAATTAATTGCCCCTTTTGGGTAAATTGCCCCTTTGGGCTAAAACGTTGAAAGACGAAACTGAAAAAATATTTTTTCAGAGTTTCATACTGTTAAATATAAAAATTACAAACTAATGCTCCGATTGATTCTTAGTTGAAATAGTAAAAGAAAAGTTGATTTCAAAATTTAAACAAATTCCAGTCTTGCGGGGGGAAGTCGTGAACATACCTGCTGATGCTATTCTCTGCAGTCATTGTACAGAGTCGTTAATACAAATGATGTTATGATATAATAATTCAGATACAAATAAAATATAATGTTACAAATAAAATATAATTAAAATGCAATATAAGAGCATTCCAAGGTACTATATGAGACAGAGCTGTCCAATTGGAGATCTCATTACTGTTGTACAAGAGACAGAATCAAAAAATTCTTGCAGAAAACAGGTTCCATAATATTCAGCAAAACACTTAATAAAAATGTCAGTACAAATACTCTAAACGAATATACGCTAAATTATATATGCAAAAATAGTTAGGTTCTAATATTATTAATGAGTGAAGATACTGTTACATAAACCTGTTTCGAACCACTTTTATACAAAGTAAATGAGATGACAAGAACACAAATAAATACTATATGTAGATATATTGTATGAAATATATTATGTGTACATTTTATAGATACATTACATTCAAACGCAGGGGCTCAAAATTTGCAAGAGTTAATTGTTTCTATGTAAGAAGTGAATCAAATACGCTGGAATTTCAGACAGCAACAAATTTGATCACATGACAGCTTATAATAAAAACTACAAAGCTTAACTCTGAATGCTATGTAGAAATAGTATCACTGACAATATTATTTCTCATAGCCTAACTAATCAATCAAAAATTTAGTTTGGGAGTTTTATTATTTAATTGTAATGGTATAAACACAATTAATAATGACTATGATTCTCGTCTCCAAATTGGATGCAGTTTCTTAAAATTAGTAGATATATGATAATATTTAATAATATTTTATTGAATTAGAAACCTTTAGAACCTTTTGAGGTCTAAAATATGAATCATTCTTTCTCTGAGAAATCTCTGAAAAAAAAAATCTGATGTGAATACCTCACGACTTCGTTGCACGGCCTATTAAATTATGCACACTTTTTGCTGCACTACATTAAAACTTACTTCCTTGAATTGTTCTAACTTAATCAACTGATCCGTCAAGATAAGCTGAAAATGACATCAAAACTGCAAATTTTGAAATTATATTTCGGTCAGGTTTTGTCGTAAGATAATTAAACTTCTTATAAATTAATTTTTTCCTAACGTGTATAAGATTTTCTGAAATAAAAGTATAGTATCCGGAAGACAGCATCAAAAGTTAGATTTCGTTATTTGTCCAAAATTAATTATTTTTTAAATAATTATTTACTTACGTTTTGTGAGGCCGACTACAATAAAAAAGGAATGTTCAGTATCTTATAGCAGTCCCCCTATACCGAAATTTCAACGTTGTCCGGTTAATCGTTTTTGAATTATGCGAAATACGTACTTACAGATGTCATAAAAAGTGCATTTTACAATTCGTTTTGTAAAAAAAAGTTTTTTATTATTTTCGCTAGTATAGAAGTCGCACAAAAAATAGTCAAAATGGATTCGCGAACGTCCAAAATGTATATTTCCTTTGAAATATGTCATTCAAAATTTTTCACAATTACAATACGTCCTTGATTAACTGAAGCATTCTTCGCCTCTTTTTCTCAGGCTCTGTGTTCTTAAATATAGATTCCAATCACAAAGGCATGTGCTTCCAGTTACGAAGATTTTCAAACTAAGACATAGTATTTTAATGAAAAAATTTCGAAATATTGGGTGGGGCAAGGAAAGATCTGTAAGAATTGAAGCACATCTTTTTGTGAAAAAATAGAACTTATTAGAAAAATAGACACTTAGAATAAATTTATTAGCAAAATATTCTTTAGATATTAATGAATAAAAGAGTGCTAAAATTTTCTGCGGTTATTTACAAAATTTAGAAAAATATCGTGAATGAAATTATTGACTTGAAAATTTTTTTCTTGGTTATGATTACCTTAAATTCAAGATTCTGGGGAGTGTGTTTAGAGATAATACTTAGGACAAAATAAAAAATTTGATCGGTTTGGTTGTTCACGGCTCCATCTTCGATAAAATAGCATTGGCTATTATATTCGTACATGAATCCTTTATATTTGCTGAAAATATTTATTAATTTAACATAATTTTTATTTTTTGATGTTAAATAAAGCATTTAAATATGAATAACGATCCTATTTACTTGAGTCTACTTGAGTCTGATTTAAGTCAATCTGAGATTTTATCTAGTTAATTTTAGGCACATAAATCGGTTCTTAGTATGCAATATCTAGAAATTATGAACGAAAAACTTATCCGATAGTGACAAAAAAAGAAGAATATATTAGCAAATATGTCAAAATCAAAACATATCTCGATTGCTAAATAATGAGGAATCTTTGCGTATGTGTGTGGTGTGTATATGTGCATGTAAATTCCTCGCATTGGGAAAATGGAGGAACTTGGGGCCACCAAATTTTGAACACATGTGGTCCATCACACGAACATGCGCAGCTCTAATCTCGAATTTTGAATTTCGAATGTTTTGTCTTTATTATGTTTTGTGCAAACGTAATGAAATTTTCATTAAAACTCAGATATTTAAAAGCAAGGTCAATCAAGGTCAAGGTTGTGCCACTCGACAAAGATATTTATCTTGAAAATTTAATCAACAAACTCGGTGATTTAAAAGCAATATGTTGACACTCGTTAAATGTAAGATATTTGTCCTCCAAATTTAATCAACAAAGATTTTAACGTAATATATTTGTCTTTCAAATTTAATCAATGAGTGATTTAAAAAAATTGTTGCCAATGCTCGAAATAAAAAAAAAATATTTTTCACATGCTGGGGTGTTGCTATTTGGCAAATCGTAAGCAATCTAATTTTTATTTCAAATTCTATCTGTCCTTTATTGATTAGCAGACTAATCAATTTGAAAGCAATAAATGCAGTTCTCCACCTCTATTATTATCACTCTAGATGAACCATTTAGAGTGATAATAATAGAAATGAATTGAAATTACACTAGCTATAGCTATTAGGATCATTATATCTTTTGTATTTTTTCTAATAACTATTTCATTCTGTTGGATGCGCGCGCCTAGTTCATTATAAAAACCCAAACATGTGTATAAATATATTTAGAATAAAATTAACATTTACCTAATTTTAACCCATAAATATTTCATCCAAGAAAAACTGGTTATCTTCCGAAGTGCGAAAAATATTATTAGCCCAAAGGGCGTTAGCACAGAGGGGCTATTAATTTCGTTTTGGCATTTTGCATCGATTCACTTTCTACGTTGATTCACTTTTCAAACTGTTGCCACCAAATATTAAAGACTGTATTATATTTAAAGAAATTAAATAATGAAGAATCTACATAAATATATGTACGTTTTTCGCATTATGATAAAACAAAGGTACCTATAGCCACGAAATTTTGAATAACGTAATCCTCTAGCGAATATGGCATCTGGAAGCCCTAGTTTGGAATTTGTTTTATTATCGATTTCATATTTTGCAACGCTTTAATGAATTTTTTATTAAAAAACTCAACTATTTCAAATCGAGCAATGAAAACACTGTCCGGAAAAAAAAATTATCTCCAGCACGCGAGACTCAGAAATTCTAAAGGTATGCTCATTTAAAAATTATTTTGCGATATTGCTCTTGAACTGAATTTTACGGTTTAAGCGTGAAGAACATGATAAATAAAGGTAACGCAAAAAACGTAAAAAAACGCCCCTTTGGGCACAATATAAAATCTGAAAATGCTTTCAGATTATTTTTTATTAATTATTTAACCTCTGCTTTGTATATTTATTTAAATTCTGTGAAAAAGGTAAAAAAATAACAGTAAAATTTACATTTCTGAAAACTGTTTTAGGTTATACTTAATACTAATAAAAAAGCACTTATATTCGCTTACCAGGAATTTCATTTCGTTAAAGGAAAATTTGCTCTTAACACCAGGAAATATCAGTGGCAAACTTACTAACCATACATTTAAGAGTTCTTTTATATGAATTGTAAATACTTTGAAACAGACAGACAACCACTATAACTAAACTCCAGACGACAGGTTTCCAGTTGCATGAACACAAACGCAGACATAATCAGAAATAATCTCGTTTGGAATTTTATTGTTTAATTGTTACGTTGAAACGTGTGAGGTATCGTCTCATCGCATAAGCCAAATTTTTAAAATTGTATGAGCAATGAAATTTTTGAAATTTCGTAGTACGTAATAATAAACTTAATTTTTGTCTTACTTAGAAATAATTAAAATTCTAGACGGGACAATAAAAGGCATCGGACGAGCGAAATTATATCGAATAATTTTAACGCAAGTGTGTTAGGTTTGCGCAATTCATCTTTACTAAACTAATGTAGTAAATTCTTAAAAAATATATTTAATTAAAATTCTTAAGTAAAACATAATTTTTTTATGTACGCTTTGCTTTAAGAAAAGTTACTTTAAGTTTGAAATTAGTAATTATTTAAATAAAAATACCCGCTTTAAGATATAAAACGTTAACTTTAATGAAACGTAATCTTTCAAAAGTTTTATTACTTAGAAGCAGACACATTTTGCTTTGTTTCAACACCTTATATTCCTCTTTTTGGAATTTAATTCAAAAAAGAGTAAAATACATTCTTATATGTTTAGCTTTAAATTATGAAATAAAGATATTAATTTATTCTTTTGTAAATGTGTTTCAAATTTTAGCAATAAAAGATAAATATGTGAGAAATTAGCTATCTTATTTTCTTATGATAATAATGACCAACGCTTCCGACTAGTTCAAGTAATTATTTTAATTATAATATTATATAATATTATAAAAAATTATAATATTATAATATATTTATAATATTTATTAAAAATTAAAATATAAAATTTTGAATAACCGCATGTAGGAAAAATATAAGTGCTGAAAGTTTAAATATAAATTACCTCAATTCAGTCTTGTGGTCTCCGAATTAAATTCAAATAAATAAAATAAAATACTACAATAAACTCTTACTTGAAGTAGATATAATAATTAATGCAGAGAAAAATAATTTATCATATAGTTAAAAAGGAATAATAGAATAAACAGTTCTATTTACAGAATTCATCTACAATTTTATATCCGAATAATAAAGCGAGAGACTCCTATGATAAAAATTTAAAAGGATAATGGCTTATATATATTTGACAAATTAGCAGGAATTAGCAGGAAATTTAAAAAGATAAGGCCTTGTATATTTGATAATGTAATTAAGTTAATGCATTAGGAGATATGAAAATATAGAGGAATTATGTAAATATAATTATTTAATCTATTATTGATATATGATAATAAATATTTTTATTCTTTTAGTGCATTAATTATCATATTTATTAAAAGCTTCTTCTGTAAAAAATAATTTTTAATTGGATTTTGCACTTCATCAATGATGAAATTTTTAGATATTATTAAAACACTAATAAACTATAAGAGAATTTTTAAATAAAGAAAAATAGCTAAACGTTATTCACAGAAATCTCTATAAATTCTCGAAGAAATCTCTTTGAATATTCAGTTTTAGACAATTGGATTAATAATAATTTTACAAGCATTTTACTTAAAGCTAAAATGATAGAACGAACATCACCAATTCGTCATTAGGTACGTTAAGATGGTAAACTTCGTCAAATCGAAACGTTTTTTAATTCCGTCCGCTTCAGGCTGCAACACATTTTAAAAAAAAGTGTAGAAAATCATTCAAATAATATTTCTTTCTCATTCTCGCTTTTAAAGAGGATGGAAAGTTGCTTTAAAATCTGTAAAAATTTCAAAACTTAATATTCGATACATTTTTAAGTGCTGATATTTTAAAATCACAAACGTCTAAAAATCGAGCGATTTTCAAAAATTCTTTCAAAATTCAAGTTAAGTTGCAGTTTTCGTACACATGAAAAAGATTTTCCCGCTGCATTCAATGGTGCAAACAATAAAATTCTGATATGCTTAGGTTGTTTCCTAAATGAAGATATGTGCGAAAAATCGTTTAAACATTAAAAAAGATCGAAATTTGAAAAAGCTTAGTTCACCACATTGCAATATCATCCACCAAGTGTGTATGTACAAAATTTGAACTTGATAGTTTGCCAATAATCAGATTAAAAATAGATGACAAAACTCCACCCACAGTGAAACACTAAAACTGAAATAAATAAAAGCTTATAAAAACATAAAAATCTGAAAGCTTTCAGATTTTACATTACTCCCAGAGAGTTTCTTTTAAGAGCCAGAGGGACTTTTTTTAACGTTTTGTGTGTTACCTTTATTTATTAAATATCCTGTTCTTTGCCACTTACACCATAAAATTTAGTTCAACAGCAATATCGCAAAATAATTTTAAAATGAGCATATGTTTAGAATTTCCGACACACAGTCTCGCGCTGGAGATAAAATTTATATATATATATATATATAATATTGCCATAGCTCGCTTTGAAATCGTTGAGTTTGTTAATCAAACATTCGTTAAAATGTTACAAAACAGGAAAGCGATAATAAAACAAATTTCAAATTCCAAATTTGGGCTTCCAGATGCCCATATTCAGTGGAAAGTTATGATATTCAAAATTTGATGGATCTAGGTACCGTTGTTTTATCACAATGCGAGAAACATGCATACATTTATGCAGATTCTTCATTATTTAGTATTTTTAAATATAACACAGGGCTCTAATGTTTGGTGGCAACAATCTGAAAAGTGAGCCGACATTTATAGTGAGTCAAAGCAAAATTCCAAAACGAAATTAATAGTTCTTCTGGGTAATCTTCCCTTTGGACTAATAATATTTCTTATCGAGGTTTCAACCAGTTTCGTAATAATTAACGTTAATTTTATGTAATTTTAGTTCTTATAACACTTTGTTTTGATATTACATATAAATAAATTAAACAAATAATCAAATGAATATATTTTAGCATATCTTAGACGTTTCTAAATTAACATGCATGCATAAGGATAAAAATTTATGAGTATATATTCTAAATGCTGGATTATTTTGATGAAATTTAAGAAATATATAGTATACCCACAGGGTCCTCAAAAAATAATGCACGCAAATAAAAATATATTATTCTATACTAATCAAGCATATTGAAATGATTCAAATATTTAAATGCTAAGAATTATCCTGAGTTTCATTTTACCTTTGTAGGTTTCGATGTTGTTTCATTTGTAACCATCAGGCTATATTTGCTGTCAATCTACGTTTGCTGAGTTACGGAGTTGACATACTAGCTGATATATGGTTCTTACTTGCTTAAGATCACCATCGTTACATCTCACAAAATGTCTTTGGCTCCTTGTTTTCAACATTAAGTCCATTTGAGTAAGATATTAGGTAGGCTGTAGAGTCATTAGGCTTATCGAAGCAGGAAAAATAAAAAAATGTGCAATGCCTTTCCTGGGATATGAGCTCAAGTCCTTCTAGTGCTAGCCTGTATGTGCTTCCAATTACGCCACGAAGGTATGCGATAAGGATGGAGAAGTACCTTTAAACTACGAGTAGGAAGACGGGGACCTAATGGTGGTGACTAATTACTGTACATTGCATTTTTGTTTGGATGCCACTGTAGTGTCAATTGACAAACCAGAAAACTGAAGATATGAGTGGTGCCTTCGTTGCAATTTGAATTCTAGACCTTTCGACTGCTAGGCAGATATATTTCCAATTACACTATGAAGAGACGGGAGATGGAGGGAGAAAATACCTTACAAGGTAATATCTTATCCTACGAAAAAAACCATTGGAAATATCCATCTTTCTGGATTCAAACGTTTGGGAGCTTCATGTTTGTAAAACTCATGAAGTTTTTGCATCCATGAAATCTTTGTATCTATTTCGAAGTGGATAATAATTTTGAAGTATACCTTTTCCTCACACAGACATTCTCTTTCGAGAAACATATATTTAGATATATTATAAAGTTACTGTTTTCTTTTAACTTCCAACATTATTGCATAGGAATTTCATTCCATACAAATAGTGACAAATAGTTAATGGCATATATTACATGAATAATAAATATATTCTCTATAAATAATTAGTGACCAATAGTAGTATTAAATGGGAAGAGTTCAAAAAATTAAATGTCGTAAATAGCTTTCATTACATCTATTAAATTTATAATATTTTTTGCACATTTTGACTTCTTTGATTTACTTTTAACGGCTTGAAAATATGTTTTCGGGTGTCTAAAATATTATTTCTCAGTGAAGGTTTTAAAAAGTAAATAAAAGGATGCTAGAAAGATAAATAACTCATTGAATATCAGCTTTTTCATTTCCTATTTTCGTTTTTGACACATTTTAGGTTCAGTTATTTTATAAAAAATTTGAAACTGTCCGTTGAAAACTTAACTTTGGAAAGACACAAGACTCAAGTAGAGGCTTACAATACTTCCGAGAAATATTACTATCTTCGTTTATTTATTATATATGTATTTCATGCAAAAGAGTGAAGAACGTCTGTGACGTGATACAATGAGACAATCGTCAGGGAAAATGCAAAGCGTAAATCTACTTTTTCACTTTAAGAAAGGGACTTTGTGGTTTTTAATAGAATGAAATGCCAAATATAAACTGAGACTAGAGATACTAGAATATACTAGAGAACTGTAAAAGGAGTATTTTTATTTCAAAACGAAGGATGAAAAGAAAGCTTGAAAATCATTGTTTAAAATATAATCATTGTTTAAAATATAAATATAAATAAAATTTAAAAAATTTAAATTTTATCATTTAATTTTAAATTTGTTTAAATTTAAGCATTCATTTTTACAGTCTATTAGAATGTTATTTTGGAGCTTGTTTTCTCTTGTTTGCTTAATATCACTTTAAAATGCTCTAAAATTTATTCTTCTCATTATACCAATGTTTTAGAGACAAATATATTAAGATAGCGTCGCATTGTTTGATGGTGATTAGAGAACTATCTGGCTCTGCTTCATAAGGCCACAAGGCAGAATCACAGTTACCAAACTTAAAAAATTAAATAAAAGAAATTATATTCAGTGATATTCCAAATCACATCTCTCTCTTATATCTACAAATACCTCTCTCGAGAAAACTTAACAATGTTCTATTTCATTTCAGATTCGAAGCCAAGCTTTAATTAACAGTGAAGATTCCAGATAAAACAAATGAAGAATTGTAAATACGATTTTAAATTAAAAAAAAAAAAGGAATGTTGTTTAAGCAGTCGTTCCAAAACCTTATCAGCCTTCTCTTTTAGACTTACAGTACTAAAAAATTTTATATTTCAAAATATTTTCGTTATTTTGTGAAATGGAAAACTCTGCAGTACCTCTTTCTAAAAAGATAATTATTTTTCTAATAATAGTGCAAATTTTCTAAATTACAGTCAAACTGAAGCATTTAATCTTCAAACTCCTGATGTAGAGAAGTGCTTAGACACAAAACTTATTTTTCATATTTGCTGAAATTATTATGCTATGCTTATCTACTAGTTTACAAACATTAGAATAGCTTTTAAGAAAGTAAAGCTTCCTGATAGGAGGATAAAACAAAAGGGATGATAGAATTTTTCATGTATCACCATAGAAACGTTTTATTTTCTCTTATATTAATCGATCGCTCTTCGTTAGTGACTCAGATGAGAGTTTCTGAGGAAGGAATTGTCAAGCAATCTCATATAGCTCCTAGTATTGCAGCTTGTTCCTAGAATAAAGTAAATGCCAGTAAGTTGCTAAAATTTTAATTCTTTATCCTTATAAAACATAATTTTTTGTAATATTATCACAGTGTGTTTCTTAAATTTTGATAATTTTTATATCTTTATGAAACAAAAGTTTTTATAATATTATCAGAGTGCAATATATGTTTTATTTACTTCTGCGCATTAAGTTTAAAAATATTTTAATTTTACTTTTTCTTTCAATTAAGTTGAATTAGCTTTACTATTTATGACCATATTTTAAGGTAAATCTGCTGATACCTAAAGAATGCTATTATCATATCTTCAGCAATAAAAATTATCTGGCATCAGCTTCCAAATAAAAGCTGTGTAGAAAAATGGCAAAGAATTAGATTGTCATTTTGTGAAAACGGATTGTGTTTGCTTACTTGAGATTAGACTTTGACTAATTAAGGCTTTAAAAGTTAGTTTGCTGAATAAATTCCTTTGTGTATTAATTTTGAAACAGGATCCTTCAGCTGAAAATAACTGTTTACATTATATCATTTCAAATGAAAATTGTTAATTACAATTTCAATTATGTAAACAAGATGACAAAAAACTTTTAATATGTAACTTTGAGAGAAAGATTTTGTTCAAACTGTAAAGTCAAAGTTTTTTTTTATTTAGTTAATATCAGAAATATAAGTAATGGAAAAATAACACAATAAATAATAAATTAACGTGCCCACTGAAAAAGTGATAGCTGTTTGAAATCTCTTGTTTTATTACTCAGATTAGAGAAATTTTAGAAGACTTATTCTTATATTCATATACACAAAGGGAATGGTATTTATCTTTTTTTAAGTAGACAGTTTTAATTCAAATGGAAATCCTAAGCTTTCACTTAGATGTGCTTGTACGAAAATTTCGTATTTACTCATATATATTTTCTCTTCTAGTACTTCCTTACTTTGATTATGATCTAGAACCTTTTGATTTATCCATATAATTTCCTTCTTAAATTTAGATAATCTCTAACGATGTAACTGTAATGCATTTTCTAATAGTCTTGAGCTGCAGTTCTTTCCATTTTTTGCAGTGACTTTGCAGAGATTTCTGGGGATTTCATGAGAAGGTATCTACGTAGTCCGCGATAATGGCTATTCAATGCATGTCACCACTGAGGTAAAATATATTATCTCTAAAACGAAAACAGGAAATTTCACAAACCCAATTCCATTAGTAACATACTTAACTTTCTATGAAAACAATAAGTCTGATCACGAATATTGATGTTTTCCTGTGATACAAGCATTTTCCCAAGCGATGGGAAATATTCGACATTCTCATGTTTTACAAGGTAAAAATACTCTTTACATTCACAGTTGCCGTCTAATTAGTCTGCTACCCTCTACTGGTAAGGCTTCAAAAAATCTTCATTAGAGAATTTCATCACCACAAACAATGCCTTTACTCGTATGTTGTGTGGATTTAGAATAAGTCACAGCACGATACAACATTTCTTGTGCATCACAAAGAAGACTGAAAACCTTAACACGAAAGAAAGGAAAGCAAAGTGAAAACGCCTTTGGTAATGAGCAGATTTGTGAGCTCAAGTTGCAAAGCTTTCCTACCTCTCTAATCCATATGATTACTGATTATCTCAAAGGCAGAAATTTTTAGAGTTAAAATACACGAACCTTCTTTGTCATTAAGCCAATCAGATCTGTAATTGCCCATGGGCTCCTTACTAGTGCCAAAGCTTTCACTTTATGCCCTCATGACCATTCAATTCTGTAGTAACAATAGAATGAACCTGGAATAACGACAGATGGACACAGCCATCCCTTTTGACGAATCCTTTACAGCGCTGTGTGCTATGACCAAGCTCTAAACGGGCTTCAATAGCGTTGAACATGATATATGAAGGCAATAGGGCTGAAGCATAATAAAATGTAGAATAAAAGCTAGAGCAAAAGCTTAATATTTTTCCGTCGGCACGAATTACAGCAAGTGTATGACAACAAATTACTTTCAACGATGATATCCTCCCTCATGTCAAAAGTGTTAGATACTTCGGAGTCATACTGGATTCAAAGTTTTCAAAAATTATATCTCAATGACTACTGAAAAATCTGACGATGTGGTGACGTCCCTCATTTCTTGATCACAAGTCTTATCTTGCTACAGAAGCTAAGAGACTTATAATCATTGCTAAAAGTAGGCCCTTATTTAAGTACGCGTGCTCTGCATGGGCAAAAACAGCTAAATCAAACAGGAAATGACTGCAGACTTTCAAAACAAGGCTCTTCATATAATTCTTAACTCTCCATGATTTATTAGAACTCATATAACGGCCTCATACTTGAAACACTGGATGCCTTCATCCTAAGGACTGCACGGAACTTCTTTCTGTCAGTGGATAAAGCCCGGTGTGGACTAATATGTAACCTAAGTAATTGTTTTTACTTCTTCTTTATTAAAATTGATCACTCATAGGACATCTTTAAAAGACAAGCAAACATTTATTAAAAGATAAATCGTACTCTAACTTAATAGGCCTATATATACCTTAATCTTAAACCTATATATTATAACAGACTTTTTTAGTGCATTGGACCTGCATGTATGTATTGATCGTACATGTTTTCTGAATGTAATATAAAACGACATCCAGTTGTCGTTTTTCAATAGATATTCTGTCTAATAATAAAACATAATTTATAATCTTGCTTACAGTTGCGATCCAAATAACAATTACAAAATCTAAAGACGAAAGACGGTTTTTCTCAACGAGGCATAATAAACCACAACACAGCTTTAAACATGAGCTTTAATACGTTACTTCCTAGGGAAAATGAATTACGACGAATAAGCTTGGTCACTTGACCGTTTTCTATGACCAATGACTAACGGCATTATTTATGATTTACTCAGAAGATATGTATTTAAAGAAAAAATTTGCACTTTTCATGCTTAATTTTCTAGGTTAATTTTTTTAGCAAATAAACTATGATTAATCTCACGTGCTTAATCATGCATTATGGTTTAAATTAAAATTTTTAATCTTTGATGATATTTTGAAATAAACAGTTGAAACTTTTAATTTTTAATCTGAATTAATTATTCCAGATTCTTCAAACGGATTCAAGCACTAAATTTGCTACATGTTTCAATCTCCTGTCATTATCATCTCGTGAAAAAGAAGTGGCAGTATTTTGATTATGGAGGAAGATAAACCGGTGTGTATTTGCATTTTAAAATATTAACCTTAAAAGCATAAATTAGGCTTAAATTTTATATGTAATATTTTTCAGTAGGTTGCCTTTTTCCTTAACTTGTCATTTATGTTTTACTTCGCTATTAATTTAACGCTAATCTTTAGTAGATTGTATGAAGTTGGTGATTTTTCAGCAAATATTTATTTGGATAAAAATGTAAAGGGAATAACCATTTATACATTATACCTTGTTTAAATGTAAAGTGAATGACCATTTATACATTATAGCTTCTTTCAATGCTGTAAAGAGAAAACATATCGATGTCTAAAAGCCGTCAACAATCGTCAGAGCCAACCTCTTACTCCCCTACGAAGATTAGCCCATTTAATTAATAAGCCTTTGATGCATATTAAGTTGTTTAGATTACCGCTACTGGTCTTCGTTTTGGAAAGCCTCACAAGTAAATGTCCTAATTTGTCTGGAATCCCTGTAAAAAGAGAATAGCATGGCAATGGGGGTAGGTAAAGTTCTTATTTCAAGAACACTTAACAAGGAAGACAGCAAATGAATTTCACTGTATGATCTAGAAAGGAATGTGCAATCCAGGGTGCCTCCATCAGCCATTAGAAACAAGAAAGGTCCAGGTAAGATGATGAAAGGTCCAGATAAGAAGCACGTTCAAGTCAGATGATGAAAAATCCAAATCAGAAACACGTCCAGGTAAAAATGGAGGTACGCAGAAAGAGATCTGCATATACGAGCTAATGCAGGCAAAAGAAAGAGCAAAAGAATTGATACCAGGTCAAAAAATTAAAATGCTACACTTCCAGTTGACCTAACACGTTTCACTTGAAGGAGCAGTTAATTGTATTAAAATTAAACTTGAAAGCATAAAAAACATAAATTTGGGTTCGTAGAACTCAAACATATATAAAATATCTATAATTCGCGATGGTATCAATATTTCCATTAAGGACAATATTGATAAATTAATTTAAAAGTAAGCCAAAACCGTCATTTTAAATGACGACTCTACATTAGAATTAAAGAGGAAAAGACACATTGACACATCGGTAATTCGACCGATAATCTCATATATCTTACGAGAATGTGCAAATGCAGCTGAAGGAAATATCGCAATCCCTCCCCCGAAAACTTCAAAACAATGTTCTACTCCTAATTACCTGAGCGCCTTTGTTTTCTACGCAGTTCTTCACTACATATAGCTTTCGAAATACCACTGGAGGTTTGCTTTAACAATTATAACTAATAATTCTTTGAAAAAAACCCCAATATCTTATACTTCGAAGGTAACTTATGATATGAGATCCTCGAAGAGGCCTTTAGTTTGCGTCTGTATGCTATACACCTCCTAAAACGTAATCAGTCAACAAGCGAGTACGTAATTATTAAAGCATCAGGTTTAGTTAATGCCGAAATTGGCCAAATTTATCACCAAATATATATAACCTGCAACTTTTAAATATCGCTGTGAGTGACTGCTTTATACCGAACTCTCATTCATATTATAAGGTATTTCTCCCACTTTCCTAGCGAGCCTTCGTGGTGTAGTGGTTCTGCACACTGAGCCGCTATTTCAGAGGTCCGTGGTTCGATTCCCGGCGAAGGCGTTTGCTAATTTTTCATCTTGCTGACCTCTAAAAAAATCCTAATGACTCTACAATATTACACCTTTAGATCCAAATGTTAACTCGGAATTTAACATGAGAAGCATACGCTCGAATGGCGATTTGAGTCAATTATTGCTTACTTAAGCTGCCGTAATGGGAATAAGTTTCTGTAGATCTAGATGCTCAGCTTCTAAGAGCTAGGAAATCATTGAGCAATCACCATAAAATACTTATAATGGAAACTTTTATAGCCTTAAACATGGCAAATCTCGTTTTGTTCTGACTCCACCGGTGGCCGAGAAGCTAAAGACTGTTAAATACTGGTATTTCATCCTAGAGATTCAATCTCGGGCGAACCGGGTGTCTGCATGTTATGGTACCCAGACAGCCCTCGTGTGCTTTGCGATATTCCAAATAATCAAACCAACCTCTTTTTATTTTCCAAATCTTTTCTACGTGTGTGCTTCTTATTATTTATGAGTTAACTTCTCATGTTGAACTGCTCCTTATAGTGATATATCTGCATTTCTAAATTAATATTTCCTCTGTAAACATGCTTTCAGTTTCCGTTCGACTGAAAAAGACGTTCTGCTCTTCCAAGGAAAGGAAGTGCTTCCGCGCAATAAGGTTTGTGTTGTAAGATGATGCACAGTGAAAAAATACCCGAAAAAGAACAAAGCATTCTTTTCGGCCTAAAATGGGATGCTAGTAAGTTGCTAACCGCTTAAAATATAAATCTCGGTCATATTATATTCCCGGTAGCTCATAACAACAGCTTATGAGAACGCTTTTAGCTACAATTTGCCAATTAATCGCACATACCTCTCTCGCACAGAAATCACTATTCTAACAGTCCTTTCATCGTGTTTTAGAGATATTAAGTCTCTGTTTAGAAACATATTCCATTGCCATTCTGTAAACAACAGGAAGGTTCATATTTAGTCATTGCATCCTGTCTGAATGACTTCTCTGTGCCTCGAGTGAACTAGTGAGCTATCCATTGCCATTTGTTTGGCAATTGAATTACCAAAGATTTTCTTATCAAAACAGCTATTTTGAATTTTTACTTCCTTGTAAAGTAAAAAGGAAGTATAGTAATCGCGAAAAATTTCAGGTATCTTATTTCAACGGAAATATCCATTTTGACCGAAGGCAATTTAACGATGTTTTTGCCTGACATCTCGACGCAAGGACAGAATAAAAGACTCTCTGCCCCCCAAAAAAATTATAAAGCTAATTTAAAATTAATTCTGAAGAGAATTTTTCGTAGCGTCTGTGCGTGCATACGTATGTACATACGTATGCATGTATATATCTCCCTTAACTCAAAAACGAGTAGCCTCACAACGTTGAAATTTTGTATATGTGACTGCTATAATATGTAGATGTGCACCTCGTCTTTTGGGTGCAATCGGCGTCTCCAAAAGTATACAAATATACGTATCCACTCTGTTACTCGGTTCAGTTATCTCAGTTTTTTTTATTCTGATATGTTTGAAAATCGTGCATTTTTTGCTTTAAAAATGATTGAATTATATTTATTCTTATTTTCCGGTTAAAGATTTTATGTCTTCAGTAAATCTCCATGCAATATTTTTAGAATTATTAAGAATTTAAAAGTTGTTGTAAGTACCGCTAAGCCTAATTATATTTGCAACGGCGGCAATGTCTGTTTACATTTAAACAGCAGAATAGTAGATTTATTGCCAGTCTAGAGAAAATAAGCTTCGCAACAACAAAGATAACGCCTCCTTTTATTATTGCGAATTAAATCATGCTTAATCCATTCTGGAATTTGTTCGAGGAAATGAGTGTTTAAGATTTACTTCGTAATTTTTAATATAGATATTTTGAGTTTTTATGTATTTTTGCCTTGTGGCGAAGCGAGAACTGAATTAATTGAATGAGAATTACTAAATCGTCTGTGAAAACCTGTATCTTTTTTGTTGTTGTTTGTTTAATTTCTTTTATACATCGTTTTAGATTTATTATAGTATTTGAATAGAACATATACAACGATTCGATAACTCTTCAGATAATATAAATTTTGTGCATTCTGAGTTATAATATGAATGAAATGTAGCGCTGTTAAGTGAATCTAGCGCCAGTGTCGCTACGGTAAAAAAAAATATAGTGAATTTTAAAAAGTGCATTTATTCTCTTGTGGTTTATGCACTATCGACGAAGTAGATTTAATTGGTTACAGCTGAAAACTTCGCGGACGGAAACGTCGCGGAGAAAACAAGACGATGCGAAAACGTCGTGATACAAAACATCGTGGGAGAAAATAAAGCAGCGAGAAAACATCGTGGTCGAAAATAAAGCGGCTCAAAAACTTCGCAGTTTAAAAACATCGTCGTCGAAATACGTGGTAAAAATAATACTTAAAATCATGCATGAATTTCTCGCACGCGTTTTCAAATCCTGTGATATATTTGAACTGATTCGTCAACAAATCATCCACAAATGATTGCATATACAGTGGTGGCCAAAATTGTGGACACTTTTGGAAATTTTTATGTTTTTGAACTTTGTATGCTTATAGAAAACGTTACGTTTCACAAAATGCAAACTTGTATATATCATTTTAAAGAGAATTTATTACTGAATTCAATACAAAACACAAAATTCAATTATTTGCAATACAAAAAAAAGTTAAACGATAATAGTTATCGATATACATTAGATAGTGATGATTGCAGTGAGTTATCAGTACTTAGTAGGGTACCCTTTATTTTTGATTACAGCTTCACATCGACGTTTCATTGAGCTGACAAGAGTTTTAAGCTCTTCTTTCGTTATTACATGATGCCAGGAAACAATTATAGCCTCAATTAGTTCCCTTTTATTTGATGGGCGCCTCATTCGGACAAGAGTTTTCAAACGGTGCCACAAATTTTCGATAGGATTGAGGTCAGGACTGTTTCCTGGCCATGACAACAATTTAATGCTCTTTGTACGAAACCACTCTTTCGATATTTTGGCCGTGTGGCAAGGAGCAGAATCCTGCTGAAAAATAAACGAAGCATTGTTGGGAAAGAGATCTCTGATGGAAGGTAGAAGTTTTGGTTCTAGAATAGTGTCAATGTATTTTCTGGCATTCAGTGTCCCATCGATGACATGAAGGCGACCAATACCATCTGCTGACATGCATGACCAAATCATAACACTAACTGGGTTCTTCACAGTTGCTTGAATGCAGTCAGGATGTAGCTCTTCTCCTATTCTACGTCTTACATATTTTCGCCCATCACTACCGAATAACGATATCTTAGTTTCATCACTCCATATAACTTGTGACCACTGATCATCTGTCCAATTAATGTGTTCCTTTGCCCACTGTAGTCTTTTTTTTTTTTTTTCGTTGCTGAAAATTAAGATAAGGCTTTTTTCGTGGAATTCTACCTCTCAGTCCAACATCTGTTAATCTTCTCCTGATTGTTCTTGAACTGACAGAAACACCAGCATCATTCAGATCACTTCTGATGGCCGCTGATGACATTTTTCTATCTTGGAGACATAGTCTTTTTATTCTTCTGTCATCAATAGATGTGGTGCACCTTTTTCGGCCTTTTCCTTCTTTGTTTTTTATTGAATTTGTCTCCTGATATCGTAAACAAAACTTTCGGACTCCAGATGTAGTCACTGAACCACCCACCTGTCTTGCAATTTCAGCATAGGAAAGACCACTTTCTCGTAACACAATAATATTACATCTCTTTCTAGGTGTCCAATCTACTCTTTTATTTGATGTCATTGCTTCTTGACTAAATATTAAAAATTTTTACAAAAATTCCTACTTGTAATTGCAGTGTATAAGAAACAGGTCCTCCTTCTACAGAACAAAGCAAAATAATGAATTGTTTCAAGTGTAAACATGATGTCAGCTTCTACTGGCAGTTACTAACATTTGATTGGTTCTCAGAACAAGAACAGTGATTGGCCAGGAAAGCTAGACATTACAAACCACTTCATAACTGTGTTTTTTATTTATATTAAAGTACATATAACTTTTTTTGTATTGCAAATAATTGAATTTTGTGTTTTGTATTGAATTCAGTAATAAATTCTCTTTAAAATGATATATACAAGTTTGCATTTTGCGAAACGTAACATTTTCTATAAGCATACAAAGTTCAAAAACATAAAAATTTCCAAAAGTGTCCACAATTTGCATCATGTATATAATATTACGAATTTAAAAAAGGACCTTTTCCCAAATCAATTCAAAAAAAAATAATATAACTTTCGTTTTTCACACATATTCGCCAACGTACTGTGCAACGCATTTTTTTCCTTTTGCCTATTTCAAACAAGTCGCAGCCATTTCTTATCAGATTGATTGTTTCTTTCAGTACTGGCATACAGTTACCTAGAATTTTTACAAGATAGTTAAATTGTATGCCCTAAGACCATTCGCGATAAACTTCTAAATCAAGAAAAGAATCCATTTTTCTTGCGCTTCCAAATCATTATGCAATTATGCATTTACAACTTCCAGAACCTGAAAACGCATGTGTGCGATGTTATAGTCCCGCAAGATTTGTAGGTACTTTATTTTTTACCACGATATTTTCGAGGACGATATTTTTAAACTGCGAAGTTTTTGAACCGCTTTATTTTCGACCACGATATTTTGTACCACGGTGTTTTATAATTGCGATGTTTTCTCTTTGCTTTTTTTTTCTCCCGCAAGGTTTTGCGCCACGAAGTTTTCTCCTTGCGTTGTATTCTCCGCGAAGTTTTCGGCGGACACCGGATTGTATGTGCATCGTATATGTATATACGAGTTTTAAATACCAAATTTTAGAAGTTTTGTAAAGTCAATTAAGATGCAATCAAACCGCTCACCCGAAGGCGAAAATATAGAAAAGGTAAAATCAAGGGTGAAATTCATCAATTCTAATGCTAATACACTAGCAAAGTAAAGCACTGCAGTTTTACATAATTTCTGAGTAAACTATTCGTACTAATTGAAATAATTTTTGCATTTAAATTTGTATTCCAAATTAAGATTTAACTTGAAATTAATGTAGATTATTACTGAGAGAATTAGATTTTTTTTAGCGTAGTTTACGTGACATGAGATCACTTGGCGTCACGTGATACGAACCGGCGAATCAGGATATTGAACCATGAAAGCATAGTAAATTCTTAAATTAATGTATTTTTTCTCACGGACTGGAGGAAACGGCGTTCGCCAAAGTCCTCATCTCCTTTCTTCTTGCTTAAAAGCAAGATTGCTAAAGTTGCTAATGTCTTTTTATAAATTTATTGTCTTTATTTATTGGCTTTTTTTAAAATTTTAAACCATATTAAAATGTTTATGCCTTCAGAATAAAAAATTCTTAGACCTAACATTTGTTAACATTTTTTATGTGCATACTGTGTGTTTCGCCAATACAGTCTGCTTGGCGAGATTTGCCCGGCGAAACGGAAAAGTACCATATAATCTGATAATTAACTAAGCAATTTTTATAGAGGTAACCTCATGCCGTGACTTATCTTCCTTTTTCTAAGCTTTTTTAGACTTTAATCTTCATAAAAAATTATCAGTAAAACTTTATAAATAAGGTTAATTCATTAATGACCTTTCTTAATTAACTATCTAAATTTAAAATTCTATTAATTTCTATAAGTTGCATTAATTTTCGACTCCTTTTCAGTTTTTAAATCCTTAAATTTCCTCTTATTTTTTCAGCAAAAATTTATTAGTTCATTCAAAAATATGAAATATAGAATTAAAAGAATCCATCTTTCTTGCGGTTCCAAATCATTATGCGATTATGCATTTACAACTTCCAGAACTTGAAAACCCATGTGTGCGATGTTATAGTCCCGCAAGATTTGTAGGTACTTTATTTTTTACCACGATATTTTCGAGGACGATATTTTTAAACTGCGAAGTTTTTTAACCGCTTTATTTTCGACCACGATATTTTGTACCACGGTGTTTTAGAATTGCGATGTTTTCTCTTTGCTTTTTTTTTTTCTCCCGCAATGTTTTGCGCCACGAAGTTTTCTCCTTGCGTTGTATTCTCCGCGAAGTTTTCGGCGGACACCGGATTGTATGTGCATCGTATATGTATATACGAGTTTTAAATACCAAATTTTAGAAGTTTTGTATGGCACAATAAAATATTTTTTCAAGAAAATTTGTTATGTGTTCCAAGTAAAATACCACTTTCAATTTACCAATTAGACCCAAGATCTAATGTTCTGTTCCCGTTGATATAGAAGTCTTAAATACTAAAATTGAAAGGTTTGGATTATATTTTAATATAATTTTTCATTAAACACTATTATGGTCTTCAAGTGAAATACCCCTTTCTGTTGTCCATTAAAACTGTTACGCACTTTAAATAATGCACCACTTCTAGCTGCCTAATTTTACCCCAAATCTAATCAGTTTTTTATATGAATGTAGAAAGCTTAAATTCAGAAAAGAGAAATTTTTGGAATTTGGTTGTAAGAATTATTATGGAAGAAAAGATAGTCGCATACAAACAGGCAGACCGTCAAACTCCATTGTCAAAGTAGTACAATTATGCTGTGTGCACCCTAATTCGTGCTTATTAATTGAAAACTCACTATCAAATTTTTGGATCGAAAACATTATCTCCTTTACCTATGAATATACCTTGGCGGGAGATAAAAAACAAAATCAATTTACCCGTTATATATCCTAAAACTTAAAATGATAGGTCTTTAAGGGTGTCCGCAGAAAACATCATTGACGAAAACGTTGCGGAGAAAACAACGCAAGGCGAAAACGTCGTGGTACAAAACATCGTGAGAGAAAAGAAAGTAAAAAGAAAACATCGCAGTTCTAAAACCTCTTGGTACAAAATATCGCCATCGAAAATAAAGCGGTTCAAAAACTTCGCAGTTTAAAAACATTATCGTCGAAAACATCGTGGTAAAAAAAAAGCACCTACAAATGATCGCATCCCGATAACATCGCACACATGCGTTTTCAGGTTTTAAAAGGAATCATTTTTGCGTAATGATTTGGGAGCGCAAGAAGGAAAGACGGATATTTTTACTTTTATACTTAATATTTTTGAATAAACTTATATATTTTTGCTGGAAAAGCAATAAAGAAACTTAAGCATTTAAAAATTTAAATGAGTAGAAAATTAATGCAATTTATAGCCCTTAATAGAATTTTAAACTTACATAGTTTAACAAAAAGTCATTAATAAATTAATCTTTATTTATAAAGTTTAATTTGTAATGTTTCATGAAAAATGCATCCTAAAGATGTTTTGAAAAAGAAGATAAAAAACTGAATGAGGTTATATCTATGAAAATTGCTTAGTTAATTGTGAAATTACTTTATTTCACGTTTGTTAATCTGTCATTATTTTGGTGAAAATTATATCTTGTTTTGTTTCCGTTTATTCTTAAAGTGTCCTTAACATTTCTTACGCTTCCAAATCTTTATGCGAAAATGCATTTACAACTTTTAAAACCTAAAAAACATATTTGTGCGATATTATCATCATGCGATGATTTGTAGGTACTTTATTTTTTTTACCACGATATTTTCGACGACGATGTTTTGTACTACTTTTTAAAAAATTGTTTAAAAATTGCTTTGTTTAAAAATTGCTATGTTTTCTCTTTACTTTCTTTTCTCCCACGACGTTTTCGCCCTGCATTGTTTCTCTTTGACATTTTCGTCCGCGATATTTTAATTGTCTGGCTCCCAGCTCTCCGTAATGTGTAGATATGCCTTACATGCCTAAGTACGTTATGGTAGGAGTTACCAATTCAGTTTTGTGTATGCAGTATGCGCCAACTACCTGATAGACATCTCCTTCATTTGTAGCACCCAAAGTTTCAAAGACTACAATATTCTGATTTCCCAATCAGTTATATCTGAATACATTCTATCCCTAATTGATCCCGGTGAACATAATGGTCCTATAGTTTTACTAATTGGGTCTATATGTCAGTAAAGAAGAACTAGCTTGCTTACGTTTTTAAAGTTGACAACAGAAATCAACTTCATGACAATTTTTGTTTATGTATTGTTACTTATATATATAGTTTGTAGTTGCTATCAAGAACAGCGAACAGCTATTAGAAATAAAAGAGGCGTTTTATTTAAGATTTCGAAATAGTTTCTTCAAATGGCAGAAGAAGACCAGAATTATTTCGATTATTTTTATCTAGATCTCAATGAAATATCTCGCATTATATCGATAGCTAAAATGTATTTTGTTTCTTTTTCTTTGCAGGTTACGAATTTAGAAATTCCTGTTTCAGAAAATGCAGATGAAAAAAAATCAGGATTAACTGAAGATGCAGAAGAAGGAGAAGCTATTGAAGAAAAAGGAAGTTTGAAAGAATTAGAAGAGTTAGAAGATGTAGAAAAGTTGGTAGTTGGAAGCCCCAAAGAAGCATCACTTAAAAAGTTAGCAGAGGAGAACGTACAAGATGCACAATTACCTATAATAGAAGATTTCGTTTGGAAAGCGGAAGAGGATGCTGTTAAAGAACAACTTTTGAAGAAAGAGAAAGAAGAACAATTGCTTCTTAAGGAAGAAGAGTTAAAAAAAGAAGAAGAACGTAGGGAAAAAATGAAAGTACTGCTTACAGGATATTTAGAGCTGAGAACAAAAAAGGAGATTGAAAAAGCTTTGCTAAATGAAAAGAAGATTATCTCTCAGTGGTTACAACCCTTTCGCGAGACGCGTCAAAAAGAATGGCTTTTGGAGCTTAAGATGTTAAAACTTGCGTTCCTAAAGGCATTGGATTATAAGAAATCTCACATCCATGCCATCCAAAGAGAACGAAAACTTATAGAACTGAATCATCTGTGGGCAGACAGTTCGCATTATCGGACGTTAGAAGAAATAAATGACTTCATGCGGGGCCGATGTGAAAAGTTGAAATTGAGGTATCTAGAAGAATTAGAAGAGATAAAGAAATATTACTTAGAAAAAGAACAGGAAATAATACTTAAATGCAGTAAGGCAGAAGAAAGGGCCGAAGCCTTAGAAAAATTTCGTGCATCAGTTCATGAAAATGTTCTCAAGCAAACACAGGATGCCCTGGAACGTTACAAATACCAGGCTGAATTCTTGAAAGGAAAAGAAATAGATATAATTTTAACCAAGCATAGTACATATGTGGAGAAAATTGTTCATGAATTGCAGACTGCTATATCCCCACCCGAACACAAGATGGATGAAATTCGATCTCTTTTTCAGGAATGGAAAAATAAATATGAATCATTTATTAACACATTCAATAAAAACAAAAAAGAATTTGTAACTGCGAGTGAAGAAATACCTGATCTTGAAAGAAAAGTCGAAGCTGCTCGGAAAAGGCTGGCAGAGCTAAAAAAAGAATCCAGTATGGCAAAAAGTATTGAATTGGAGGAAATGACTCGTTTACAAAACATTTCTAAAAAGCAAGAAAAGCTACAACCATCTCTCCGAAAATTGATATCGTCTAGTGAGGAAGTAATGACTAAATTACGGGAACGCAAAGTAAAACTAGATAGAATTGTGAAACTAAAAAAATTATGCGATCATTTAGAAACTGAATCTGACAAAGCTCATCCTAGTGTTCCGCTTCTTGATACCCATGAACAACAGAAATTGAAAGAAAATGACTGTTTGCCCTTAATAAAGCAACTATGTTCAGAAGATATTGAAGATCCTATTCTGTTGGAGAATTTGTATCGGAAGGTTAGCCGTGTCCAGCTACAAAACCAAGTTCTGCTGAGAGACATTGAAATGCTAAAAGTAGATGGCATGGCTTTGAGAAGTGGTATGAAGAAATACTTGAAGAGCATTGCTTCAGGTGAATGGGCTAGAATTCCAGATGATTATCTTCAGACTCTAGAAGCTGAAGCTGAGACATCCACAACTGCCATGTTACCTGACGACAAAGAAAAGCAGATGCAAGAAGCTTATGTTAAAATGAATTTAGATTTGTTACACAAGAAATGCAGGCCAGTGAATAAAGCAATAGAAGAACAGATAGAAGAGGAATATAAATAATTTACCAATATTTACATAATGTATTAAAAAGCAACCAAATAACTTAAGTTATTGAAAACGATCTATATACATAATTTGTCTTGAAACGTGTAGTCAAGCAAAACTTTTAGGATTCGTGTTATATTAATCAAAAAAGCGGTGAACTTTTCGAAATTCTTGAATATTTTTATGACACGTGTCCAATTTTTAATAGATCTGTATACTAAGTCGCTGTAATTTTCTTATATGGAAATATTCAGCAGTAAGTGAAATTTTCGCTGTATAAAGCAAGGAACCTGGTTAGGATAAAAGTATATAAAACTTTGCTGACGAACAGTGGCTTAACGAGCACAGCTGGCGCCCCCCCCAAAAAAAACTTATAGTAATATAATCTCTAGAATATACTCGCAATAACAATATAATGCAAATAATAATAAAATGCTGAATCTGGTTTAAAATACTCTGAAATATATTACGAATAGTCACTACCTAACTACACGTCTACAAAATGCTATATAGTTTTTCTGGATAAATGGCATATAGAATTTCGGGATAACCGACTCATATTAGGCTTTTGAGGCAAAGAATCTGGTTAAAAATCAAGACTAGGATTGGATTCGGAAATACTTCGGTGTCGGTTGAAAAATCAGACATACTCTCATCTAGAATTAATTAAAAAGATATTATTTATTTTACATATTTATATATTCGTTTTAAAAACATACAATTTTTAAACAATGATAAAATTTTATATATGTAAGTTTTATTTAGTAATAGTAATATAATATAAATTATTATTAATTACTATGTATTGATAATTAGTTTCATAATTACGTACTCTGTATACATTTTTCTTGTCTTGGATGAAGCATATTTATCAATTACTTCATCAATGTCGATCGTTTCAAATTTTTCACTTTGCACATTAAAAAATGCTAGATCACTTAGTCGATATTGTCCCATCGTTGATTGTAAATATGCTGAATGAACGTTCATAGCTAGCAATTGATTATGAAATTGTAAGGAGCATTTAAATTGCGTCTCTCAGGTTTGGAAAAACGTTTTCTCTATTTCTTATTATATAGGTAAGGAGCTCTAATGGAGTTTTAGGCTCAGTTTCTTTTCTAGTGCAGAGTAACACCTTGCAGTCACATAAACTGCTCGAAACAATTAGGGGATATTGTGAGTTCGGTATGAAATAACCATATAATCGACAACTTTTTTAACAAAAGGAAATATAAGAGATTAAAAAGGAAAATTATAACGTTTACAAAGTTGGGAATATGCTAATTTTGAATGTGAAGTCGAAAACTATGCGTTTTGGATAAGAAGTGAAAAGCGACTTGCAGCATTCCTTTTGCAGGAGGAGATTAAAAGCACTTCACACGCGTTGAATATTTTGTAACACTGAATAGTCTCAGCAAGACGATTTAGTGGATCAGTAATTAGTAGCCTGGAAGGCCATCGGTCGTTTAGAAGAGGAGAGGAGGGTCATGGAAACTGAAAATGTTTCCCGAAGATCGGAACAAGGTTATGCGCATGAAACTGAGGATCGGTATTTAACATTAATGGCCAGAAGAAATTATACTGTGAACGCCACTTTCTAGAGAGAGCAGCTTCAGAGGGCTGCTGATACTAGAGTTTCGACTGTTCGAAACCGTCTCGCAGGTTTGCGTTTCAATGAAACAGGACCATCGTGCTCCGGGAGAAGGTGAGCACATGAGCATCTCAGATGAGTGGAGCAACGTGCTGTTTAGGGATGAGTCCCACTTTAGTGTACAACATCATAATAGGCGGATTCTCATCTAGAGAGAACATCATACGGAATACACCTGCATTTTTGTGTATGAAAGTGTTCTATTTGACTCAAGAGGAGTGATGGTCTGGGCCGGTATTTCTGTCAATGGCCGTACCGATCTGCACATTATCAAGAATGGGCTAACGGCTCAGAGCTACAGGGCTGAGATCTTTAAACTTATTGTGATCCTTTACGTTGAAGCAATCGAGGATAAATTCCTTCCCATGAATCATAACGTCAGGCATATCGTGCTCAGCTAATGTACAATTTTCTTTTCGATGAATGTATCCTTCGATTGGATTGGCCACTATGTTTCCTAGATATGAACCCAATAGATCATGTTTTAGACATTCAAGGGAGAAGGGTTCCTAAAGCTTATTACCCCCAGAAACAATACAGTAGTTGAAAAGCTCTCTTCTACAGCAGTGGGAAAGATTACCCCACTCTCATCGATAACCTCATTCATTTCATGTCCTGCAGGTGAGCGACATTGCTCTTGGTCAGGAAAACCATACCCCTTATTGAAACTCATTTGTATCCGAGAAAACACATTTTTTGTTTATTTGTATAATATGCATAAATTTTACATTTTTTTACCGCCAAATTTCGTCAAACAATTTAATTACTCCTTGTTCGTTGAGCCTTTTTCTTTTCTGATATCTTACAACATCTATACATCATACATCAGTCACCAAAACATTTTGTGATGAATAGTTATATCCAAAATCGTAATATTCCATAATTGGTTTGAGCAATGTACTTCGACACAGAGTTCTGTTCGATTAAAATATGCATTCGAAAATTCCCCCCAGTTTTTACAGTTCTTTTCAAGATCACTATAAAAATTGCTTTTTTTTTAATAAATTTTCAGTGTTCAATAAATATCCAAATTTTGAATTAGTCACTTAATCGCGTACATCGTGTACTTATTTCATGCTGCAGACGATCAGGAACGCTTTTTATAACGCGAGAAATTTCATTTTCTGCCGAAAGGCCAACATCTCTAGCCATTTCTCCTGGCAATTTTCGGCGTCTTCTAACACGCATTGTTGTATCAATACTCCTTTTTTCACAAAGAGACATAGCCTTTTCTATTGCCTCTTTACAGATCTCGTCTTTTATTTCTGCAAGTTCAGTCGTTAATTATTCTGATCATGCGATGCTTCTCTAAAATTCACTTTAAGATCTTGTAATCTGAGCTGCACACGATCAGTTCTCAAGAGTTCATGCCAAAAATGTACTTGAATTTTGAAATTAAAATTCAATGTTTTTTGCAATAAAATTGTAGCTTCACTTCTGGTGTCACTTGTGATAGAACTGTCCTCTGCTGAAAAGTGTTCTATTAATTCTTCCAGCCCATCGACAATGGCACTATCCACGTGTGCTCTCGCACTCCATTTTTTTTAAATTCATGTTTATCAGTTTTCTTTAAAGCATATTTTAATTTCCATTGTAATGTTTGTTAAAGAAATCTGATCGGAATTCAATTTTTATAAATTATATTTCCAACTAAGGCTGCATCTTTAGCATGCATTTCAATAAATCCCCAAAAAGGATTCTTTAACAGAAACTTTTCTGCTGGAAAAATCTGTTTACGTACCTAAAAACTTGCGATATTTGTTCGCGTTAAGCGATATCAGGAGTCGAAACAAATAAAAGTCCATAATATTAATTTCTTTTGATATGACTTACTTTTTGATAATTATAATATAGCGGCCGAATTAATTCACGGTCGAAGAGCATTTATAATATAATAAAAGACTACAGTGTATTGATTTTTATCGTTTTAAAGTAACAAGCGTAGCTGAACGTGCATTTCGTTTAAAAAAATGATGCACTAATTTAAAAAAATAAAGTTTTCAGAAAGAACGTTTTGCATACAGAGATATTTGACTGATTTACTGCAAATATTATTATACCATATTTTATCAGATGACCCAAGAAAGGAAATAATTATTTATATGAAAATAATTTAAAATTTATTTCTCAGAAATCGATCCAAAAAAATTGAAATTTTCCGGAAAATCTTGTTTCTGTTGGGGACCATTTGGCGCTCCTCTGCGAGTGGCGCCCGGGTCATGATAGACCCTCTTGCCCCCCTCTCGAAGCGGATCTAATGTGTATAAGTAATACCTTATTAAAGAAAGAAAATATATTCACAGCGAATATAATAGTACATTATGCTCTAAAATTAGTTAAAAATTATCTGTGAAGAAGTCACTCAAATATATATCATGAAACTTCTTTGTTAAATTAAAATTACTTTTAGCACATTCAGTGTTCATTACCTTGAATCCTACATTGTCAGTTTTACTGCAATATCACGTAAGTTTTATATTTAGGGTATCCTGCATTCAATAATGATATTGCTGGTAACATAGGATAAGTAACTATTCGAACAGGTAAAATTGCATTTCATTGTTAAATTATGAAATTCTTTTCCACATCGACAGTCTTTAAGAGAATCAAAGATTTTGAATTCTAATGAGATTTAATAGAACTATTCCACAAACTCCGTGCAATAATTTCAAGTCAATGTAATATATGTAATATAGATTTACATAGATAGGCTATTAATTTGTAGAAAAAGATGTAATAATTTAAGTCAGTTTAACAATCTAAATACCTCTTGAAATATGAAATTTTATTTTCTCTATAAATGATTCAAATTTTATTTCTTATTTATGAGAATGTTTATATTTACTTTCTACTACTATTATAATAAGTAAATTAATTAACTAGATAGAAAGGTGCTATAACTAAACATTAAACTAATTTATAGTAAAAGGTGACTTAAAACTACTTATTTCTATTATAAGTAAATCAATTAACTAGAATCAGAGAGATATTATAACGAAACATAAAAATAATTAAAAAACATAAGATGTAAAAGGTAACTTATAATCTTGGATCATTTTAGAAGTGCATAATCTTTTATTTTAATCATAAAATGTGTTTTTGGCTATTGAAACCTATAAAATTTGTAAAAGATTCATTTATAAGTTTGCAAAAAATGTTTAATAAATATCCTAGACCTATACGGAATGTAATTCAACCTATCTTTCCATATTTTGGGACTTTTGCTGAGCATATCTTCTTCGTCGATGAGACTGATTTCAATTATTAAACCAGTGTGTTATTTACCCCAAGCCTACTTTTCTTTCTCCCTTAATTTCTGTACATGCGTTAAAGATATAAAATACCTTTGAAAGAAAAAGATCAGCTGAGGTTTAAAGCCTGTGATCTTTTGGGTATATAAATATGACTCTGCTTATTTTCATGAAAAAAAAACTGAATATGAAATTGATATGTGAATTGTGAAATGAATACGAAATTGATAGTAAAACGAAAGAACTGTATAGATGTTTTGAGTGGATGTGCAGAGTTACTGGAGGCGAATGTAGGCATCGAATTTCAAGGTCAGTTGGAAAGAACTCAATTGCTAAAAATACGGTGACAAATTGGAAAAGTTTTTGTAGAGAAGTATGCATGGAGTTATGTTTGAAGGAGAATGTTAAGTTGGGTGGGGAAGGTGTCATTGTCGAAATCGACGAAAGCAAGTTTGGCAAGCAAAAGTATCATAGAGGGAAAAGAGTCGAAGGAAAATGGGTTTTTGGTTTGGTTGAGAGAGGAACAGATAAATGCGTCTTTAGAGTTGTTGAAAACAGAGGTGCCGAAACATTGCTAGAAATCATTAAAGAGAATGTTCTACCAGGATCGATTATTATATCCGATTGTTGGAAAGCGTACGACTGTCTCGAGTTCGAAGGGTATGCGCACCTGAAAGTCAATCATAGCTTGAGTTTTAAAGATCCAGAAACAGGTGCGCATACCAATAGTATTGAAGGAACTTGGGCGGCAATCAAAAGAAGTTTCCGTGGCTCTAGTAAGGCAAAAGGACAGTTTGATTCCTATCTTGCGGAATATATTTGGAGAAGGAAACACAAGAAATCCGACGCCAGCTGATGCGTAAATTCTCAGTGAGATCACAGCCATATATTCTGCAAAAGGAGAGGACTGAAGGTAAGTTTCATTTATTATTATTGACTTAAGTAAAATATTGGGTGCTTTTCTTAATATGGCAGTTTGGATGTTTGGTAGTTGCTTTAT